TACTGCAGAATGGGATGTCGTATGTCTCTTAAAATCCATTTCTTGCACTCCCATTTGATTTTTCTTCCAGAAAATTTGAGTGCTGTCAGTGACGAACAAGGGAAAAGGTTCCACCCAGACATTCTGACAATGGAGCAACGTTACCAAGGCAGATGAGATGCAGCAATGTTGGGGGATTATTGTTGGTTCCTTATGAGAGAAAACGATGAAACATATAAACGAAAGTCAATATTTGCAAACGGGTTATGCACAAAATAGTTCATTTGATTTTTTTTTAATGTGTATTGTGTATTTCCCTATAATATGTGAAAATTTTTGTATGAAATGAAAATAACTATAACTCAGCATCTTTAAGTGATGGAAAATTTTTGATATTGAAGTTGCAGTGAGGATGCTTTGAACTCTCATGTATTGCCATTATAGTATTAGTCGCAATTTTTTGTTCTTATTTGTTGGCTAGTGATTACCCGCATTGGAAGTGTTGATGGTTTTATTGAGGACGGTTTATTGATGTTTGGATCAAAGCATTCTGGCGAATAGCGATGTTTTTGAAAAATATTTTGAGCAAATGTTAGATCCCATTCCACATAACTATGTGATTGTGATGGATACTACAAGTAATCATTCCAGAAACATTGAAAGAACACAAACTAATGCATGGAGAAAAGCGGATATCATTGAGTGGTTTCGACAAAAAACATATCATTTGATGAACGTATGCTTTAAAAACCTATTGTCTATAGAATGTTCAAATATAAGGCTAGTTTGACGGAATATAATGTTGACAAGATTGTACAAAAATGAAATATTATCATTCTGCGCCTGCCTCCTTATCACTGCGAACTTGATCTCATTGAAATCGTTTTGGACACAAGTAAATAATTTGGTCGCAAGAAGAAACACAAAATACATAATAAAATATGTCAAAATACTCTTCAGGGGTCCTTAAAAAATGCCGAAATTGTATTGAACATGTTATGAAAGAAGCGGACAACATTTGAAAATTTGACCATTTAGTTGAGGAAAGTGTAATATCTTCGATCATAACATTCTACGAAGAATCATTGGATTTATACATAATTTTTGCTTCTGCCCAATATCTTCTAAAAAGGCATACCTATTAGTTATTAAGTGAACATTTCACATCGAACTGTTTGGACAATATCCATTATAGATGGATAAATGAACATTGTTATTAGTTTTAACAAAGTATTTTTGGTTAAATAACCAAACGCAAGCCACTGCGGGTATAAAACTAATAGAGTTACCCATATAACATATTTTGGTAAAAGAACAGAGATAATTGCGGGTTTCTTCAGAAAAAACAATGTGTAAGTGGCATTCAGACTACATGCCAGGTTATCTGAATGCATGTGTACAAGTTGGAGACGAATTTATAAGCTTAAGTGTCCGGAGTGTAATATTGTTTATATGGGGCAATGTGGTCAAAATTGCTCAAATCGGTATGCTGAACATGAAAGGTCCTTCAGACTAGGTAAAAATGCTTCGACGTTTTCAAACCATTCCTTGACATGCAACCAGAAGTTTCCGAATCTAAACGATACGGAAATTTTGCACTATGCAGAGGAGGGTTGCAAACTCAATTATTTGGAATCCTTGAAAATTCGTAAGCATAAACATTGCGGGTGCAGCCTATTAAATGATCAAATTGATATAGTTTACTCACCGATTTTCGAATTAGTGTATCCACATTGTCACGGGTAAACAAAATTCGGGCACTCAATTGAATTAAGTACCTCTATTATCTACAATAGTGTTATATAAGAGCTAATGTAATCAATCATTTTTAGTTTAATGTACAAGCTTGAAAATGTCCTTATAGGACAGTAACGTTAGTTACCTACAAATAAAAGTGGTAAGATACATAGAAAGTTGATTTTTTCTTGATATTTATTTTCATAACCCTGGAGATGGAAATGTCGAATCAAAGATTCAAAATTACTAGGATATCCAAAAGTATGTACATTGTATGGAAAATGTTTTATTTCTATTTATTCAGCTAGTAGTGTACTGTACTGCCACTGTAAAAATTGAAAACGCGCATTCAAAATACATATAAATAAAATGTCATAAGTTGAAACTCGGCTGGGAAAAAATTCAGATTCTGTGATATGGAGTTGGTGCGAAAAATCTCTAGTATTCACAGTCTCATAACTTGAGAATTATCGGTCCTTCAGATATGCAAAAAAACTTTAACACGTAAAATTATTTGAATGTTTGTATTTAATGAAATTAAGGTGAAAACGAAATATTCGTAAACACTGATTTTTGTGTTCTTCTGTAACTACACAGTTTTAAGAAATATTCCTCTCTGTAAAAAATTATGATAAACTCGTTGATTACTCATTGGTCAATTATCTCTAGTATTTTTACCTATTTTGTTATGAAGTGTTTGGGTTATCCCAAACATCTGAACTACTTGGAAGTTCAAAAGTATAAAACTGTAGAATGGTGAGCGAGAGATAATGATTGATTCAATATACGGTGTTTCTCAATTGCGGTAAAATACAGGGTGAAAAAGTTTTCTTAAAAAATTCTTTTCTGTATCAATACTGTAAATATCTTCGATTTTGGTGAAATTTGGTATGAGGTTTAATTAGTCCTAGTTAGTTATAAATTATCTAGTCTTGTCAAACATTATTTACCAAAAAATGTACGCCAGTGACGTTTCTTGTAACACTTAGTATTGTTCCTTAACGTTTTCGTTGCGAAGTAATGAAACTAATACGGTTCCGAAGTTTATAAAAATGAGGAGAATTATAAGGACACAGCAAGCAGAGATAATCTAGCAATATTGAATTGCTCGAGTGATTGGGAGAAGATTGACCGTCTCATATACAACAGTATGGAAGCTGTCAAGTCATCAACAACTGAAAGACACAAAAAAATTTTGCATATTTCCAGAACGATGCAGGTCACCAACATAGAGAAATTTTGGGAAAACCGTAGTCAAACTTTACAATAGCAAACTATCCCAGGAGGATACTAGGATTTTGGCTAAGGGAGGAAATTTCGCTCTTACACCACCCACAATTCCAAAACAGAATATTATTGCCAATGTAGAAGCATCCGCGGGTTACCGACCCCGCGGTTGAGATGGAAATCGACATCGAGACAACGAGGATCCTGAAACGAACAAAATCTCCTAAGCCCAACCGTTGAAGGGCGGTCTTAAAGCTCTGAACAATGATGAGAATATCCTGATCTCACGTGCTGACGAAGGATACGCCACCGATGTGATGAACGAGTACGACTATAGGAAAGATATAGTTAATCTACTTGACCCCAACACATATAATGTGCTCAAGCGAGATAGGACCAACTGCGTCTCAAGGAAGACTAACCAGCTAATTCGTGCATCATCTATTAACCAGGATGTGAAGAGAGGGTTACAGAGAACCGAGGCATTACCACCTTTTTTATATGGGCTACAAAAAATTTCATAAGGCGAATGTCCCACTAAGGCCAATCATCAGTGGTATATGGTCTTCGACGTATGAGAACGCCAAGTACTTATCGGGTCTGCTGCAGCCACTAGTAGGAAAACACTCATTTTATTGAGCAGTTTCGTGATAAACCGAATCCTAAAGACGTGTTGGTGAGTTTTAATGTCGTATCTCTGTTCACAATGGTTCCGGTTAGTGAAACCTTGCAACTCATCGGTGGGTTCCTTCCTCCAGACATCACATTGCTTAACATCAATATACTTCCAATGGGATTGATATTTCTATGAGCAAAAAGGAGTCGCAATGGGGAGTCCACTAAGTACAATAGTTGCCAACTTCTATATGGAACAATTCGAACGACAAGCTCTAGAACATTCGCCAGTCCGACGCTGGCAACGATATGTTGGCGATACCTTCGTGGTTTGGAGTTACGGGAAAGAGGAACTAGCAAGATTTCTGGGATATTTGAATTCTTAGAGCCCAAAACTCCAGTTCACAATGGAGAAAGAAGAGAAAGGGAGAATCGATTTCAGTGAAAAGACGGGAAAGTGGCAGACTGGGGACTCAGAGGACAGCCATGACATTGCCAGTATCAATACCAATTGCCAATAGATAAACATAAAAATAGTTTTTACACTTGAACATCTACAATACATGAAAACCGGCACTTCATAACACAAGGATTCTCCCAATGGTTGAAGACGTGTCGGACCAATCAGGTACAAGAGCAATCGGTCGTCCGACATCTAGTCCCATTTTGAGTAAAAACGCATCAGGACCATTTTCAGTTTGTGCATCGCAGCAATGCCTACCGCAGTAGCAGACAAAGTGTCAGGTCTAAGACCTCGCAGAGCACACCCAGAAACAGGACAATTTGTTAGACACCGGCCTTGAAAGCCTACACACCTTGATTTAATTTTGCATTGGGTATAACATGTAAAACTACAACTTTTTTTTCCCAAAAAATTGAAACGAAAACCGAATAAAAACATGTAGTGTGCTTTGCATTAAAAAATTAACAATAACTTTTGGGATGTTTGCCATTTGTCACATTACATTTATTGTTGTGTCAACAGATATTTTATATAAAAGAAAAAAGGAATGTTTTAGAAAATGTTAACACCATGTTCGGAAACAAGGTATTAACGAGCCTATATTTGTGTGAACTTTTTTTTAAATTTTCTCCTGAACATACCTTTACATTTTTTAACGCAATCAGGAAACACCCTATATATCATTTCGATAGAATAAATAAAAAAACTAATTAATGATTTTAAAAACAACGTAGATATTTCCACTGGATATATTGGTGTAATATGAGAAGTTTCATTAAAAAAACACCTCCATAAATAACGTTGAAATGGAACTGTTTACCTGATTCAAGCAAGACCTCATTTTGAGATTAGCATGTTTGATAGTCCCATGTATTTAGTTCAGTACCAACATCGTTATCTTATGAGTCATTAATGTCATTTATTTCATACATCTTTACTTTCTACAATTTAGTCACTTATGTTTATGTTTGTTCCATACCTGAGGAATGAAGTCTTGAATAAACAATGGAGAATGGAAGGTCATGCTTTTCGCAATCAAATAATATGACTGTGTACTGAAAACAGAAAAAGTTGATTATGAGAATTCAAACGTTGTCAGTATCTCAATGGTCAGTATTTGCTGGCAAGTTGACTATTGGTTGTTCAATTCCTTGGAAGACTTAGTTGTATTACAGAAAAAAATAATTAACGTTTTGGCACATTTTTCTGGGTAGTCAGAAAATAATTCATTCCAGTACATGGAATGCAGTCTAGCTCATAATATATATAAACACGATTCTATATACGACACTTCTTCAAATTTTCATTTGGAATATTACTGGAGTTTTCTTTCCGAACACCAAACACGTGTTTCGATCACTTCAAGAGCAGTTTGATCTTCATCTTGAAGATGATCACTTGGTGATCGAAACACGTGTCGAGGTGTTGAAATACCGGTTTGGTGTCGGGANGGTATCAAGCTTCGAAGGGTGAATAAACGCCTTGGAGTGAGCCAATCCTGGAAGATTCTGCCAGAAGTCCATCCAGGTGTTCAATCTTTGATTGGCAAAGCCTAAAGCGATGTCAATTACAGGTTCTGGTCCGATGAAACTGCTTGTAGCACCCTCCTTTGCAAGGGAGTCAGCAGCCTCACAGCCTTCCAGGCCAGTATGGCCAGGAATCTAGACCGGAGACAATATAATAAGTCTTCCTATAGAGAAGAGTCGTTTTTGGCAATTTGCTACCAATTTAGACGTTGCTCTGTAGGAGCCAAGAGCTTTTCTGACTTATGTATGAGATTGGATTCTTCCAATCGCTCCATTGCTGAACTTCCGCTTGAAATACAGTCGCATAAGTTCCTAGGCAGGTTGATATCTCTGTCCTGGGTCTGCGACTGTGTAATAGTAATTGAAAATATCATCTGTACATGAAAGGTTATTGAGAAAAATGATTATTGGAGTTTTTATTATCGCAGTAAAATCTAAAACAGTGACTTTTTGAATTTTTGTCTGTTTATCTGCGCGTTTGTGCGGTTTTCACTACTATATAAAGTGATGAACTGGGATAAGTTTGAATGTCAATTTGAATAATCACGTCAAACATTTGCTGAAAACGAATCTGTAAAAATACTGTTCATTTGAATTTGCTAAAATTTTGGTAACTATGTAGATAGTATTCGTAAAAATATTTTCTTATATATCAAAGGTGTTGTGGAAAATCCACGGAACAAGTAGTATATAATATATTTTCGATTTTTGTTTCATGAACAATATTACTGTGAATTGATTTGTAGTAAATTAGTAATACATTATTTGTGTCGAAACCAAACGGAAGTTTTTCGATCTGTCCTGTTTTGGGCCTGGTATCGTCTAGTTGTAGTCATCACTTACATTGTATTAAACAAATTCGCTTCCCGCTGTCTGTCCCTATATATGCTCAAATCTTCAAAACTACCCAACGGATTTTGATGCGGATTTTTCAATAGAGTTATTCAAGAGGAAGGTTTCTGATGTGATGTAAATAAACACATTTTTTGCGTTTATATTGCAAACGCTGGCTGAACCCTACGAGATAGATCAAAAAATGTACTACAGTATGGTTCACCTTAAAAAAGTCTACATATAGTATAGGAATAACCTTATAAAACCATTTTTTATCTTCGGGAAATATTGGCTTTTTTACGAAGCAATTTTAGGCAATACAGCATTAATCCTTATCCAATTAAGTACCTTGAATACATTGTGCATTTAATATAGATCAATATGGCCGTTTACAGCACGTAATTTAAAAGAATATTTTCGAAGATATCACAGATTTAAAATGCAGGGACATAGTGGTTGCGGCGGTACCAGCTGGGGGCCTGGGGCGCGCCGAAAGCCGTGCTTCGCTCTGTAGCACTTTATGATTAGCAGCTATCGCACGCGTTTATATGTATATTTAGTATCAGCACACTTTTCCATAATATTGAGGCAGTTCAAATTATTAATCAATAGGATCCACAATATTTATAAAAGTATCTACACTATGATTTCAAAACCCATAAAGTTTTTAAGTCATGTGCCTGCGGAATTTAAATGTTACTTGAATGTCTTTGAAGTTAGCAATGAAATGTTAACTCGTCTACATTTTCTTTTACAAACAATTCAATTGACATATTGACGCTCGCAACCGGAAGAGACTATAATGTGCAATTTTGAGTGGTTAAACGCTTTATAAACGTTTATTGATCTCAAGCCAACTGTATTGTGATCTCGACGGCTAAAGACATAGTATCAAAACTCATTGTCCTTTCATACTTCTCGCTTTATCATGTTGTCGAACTTCAGAATATTATTTTCAAGTCAAAAACAATATATTTTCCACGACAGATTTCAACCATTTTTTAAAATTGTAAAGTAAATGGAAAGTATATTGCGGGACAGAATTAAATATATTTATTTAAATTTTCAGGCCTATTACGATAAGTACTTTTTCTTTATCCAAAATGAGAAATTTGTGTTAGCGATTTTTTTATAAAAAATCTACTATGACACTGGATTCAGATTGCTTTCAAATAACTGTGCCCAAAATTTGATATTTATCAACAACAAAGATATCACAACATAACAATGGAAACCTCACTAAGCTAACAGTCGCAAAAAACCCCTTTACCACCAGATAGTCATGAAATTTTATTTTTCAATTGGTTGTTAAAATAAACTACTACTTTGCGGACAAAATGTTTGACGTTACACTCAATTAGGTAAGTAGTGATAATACAGTAATTTATTTGAAGGTGTAGATAATAGTGTATGCTCGGATTTTATTGACAATTAAATTTAGCACAAGTGTCAAACACCAACATCATGTTTGTAGCTAAGATCAAAATTGAAATTATACTTTAATTGTGTGTAAAATTGAATGTATTCCCGTTCCTCAAGTACATTAAATGTTTATGCTCAATTAAACATTTTGTTCGTATAGTTCAATTATAGATTATAGTCACAACTATTTGAAAAACAAATTTTCATGACAATCTATTGGAACAGGGTGTTCTTTGGGATTGTTGGCTGATTGAGTTTTCTATTTTTGAGTTGTCCTATCTTTGTTGTCGATACATTTATTTTCATAATATTTCGGTAACAATTATTTGAAGGCATTCTCAATCTAGTGGCATTGTAATTTCATTGATAAAAAAATGCTCATACAAATGTTCCATTTTTAAATTGGTTTATTCGTTATAAGAAAAACAGAAAATTCGCTATCGCTCATTTTATTGAGAAAATCAACAAAAGTAATATTAATGGCAACACAATCAATGGATGGGAGTATTCAAAATGACCTCCATCTAGTTCCATGCAATAATACAGTCTACTTTCGAAAGCGTTCCTTACATTATTGAAGAACTCCGGAGTCAGAAATCGGCATTCCCGAACAATTTTCTGTCGCAGGTCTTCTATATTTGTAGAATTTATTTAATTAGTAGTAGTAGTTAGTTAGTAGTAGTAGTTGGCCTCTGTCACTTCTTCACGAATTATTATTCAGTAATTCTTGTTCACTGTGTTCCAACATGGTTCATTCTACTGAAGAAAGAATAGAAATTGTTGCAACGTATTATCGAAATAATGAATGTGCTAAAGCTACTGCAAGAATTTATAATGCGAATCATCCAGACCACAAACGTGAGCCATCAATACGTTGAATGGATAAGTTTCGAACTTCAGGTTCTGTTCACAATAGAAAATATGAAGTATCCCGTCCTGCCAGAAATGACGGAGTTGAAGTTGCAGTTTTAGGACAGGTACAAATGGATAATCGACAATCTATCTGACAAGTAGCTGTACGAACACTGTTTTTCATGTGTAAAAAATATTGACATTGCTTCCTGGTTGATGTACTAAACATGTATTTAATGATAATGGGATAGTAATTGCAGTGCAAAAAGTTAAGAACGGTTAAATACAAGTTTGAAAAATTTTTCTGCATTTTTGAGGTTTCCGTTATTCAGTAGAACGTGCTCTAATGCAAATATAATATGTTTGTTACGTTGAATGCAATATGTTTTGTTTTCCAATCATGTTTTATTTCTATAAACAATAAGTTTATTTAGCTACTGCGAAATTATGTTACCGCAAAATAGACACACAAAGCTGGGGACATATTGTTTGCCACACGTTCAGGAAGAAAGTAAGGCCTTGAGTTGATATAATAATCAGTTTTGTTTTAATTCATTTTAAAATATGAATTTTTATTAGTAACACACGATCCCTGAAATGAACATTATCAAAAATATACAGATTATGAAAATAATGACCCGTTACTTGATAAAAATTAATAACACTATCCATGATAATAAAAAACCATTTT